ATTAACGTGCTAACAGAGAAGATAGGAAAAGGTTGAGCATCGATACGTAAAAAGGTTACTCAATTATCTACAAGGTGATGAAGGTAATCCGGGAAATATCATGAGTTCAGTAAAGTGTGAATATTTTCTAGATGTAATGCGTGGTAGTGTCGGGATTCAGTAATGTTAAGTAAGGAACTAGTTTTGCGTCGCACTTTCAACGTTCGGTCTCGTTTCAAAGGTGTTTTATCAACAAAATAACTAAGTAACAGTGAAGACATCTCTTATCCCTTCATTGAGAATCTAATCATCACCGTCTTACTTCCCATGACTGAAGAGTTTCATCTATATAGGAAGTATGTAAAAGACACATTCATCACCAGTGATGACGAGAACAGAAATCTTTTAATCATACCCCAAAAAATTGATACTTCCCATCGGTCAATCAAGTCGGTGTCATAATAAGGTGGACCTGAGAATGTCAGTTTCTGCACTCCCCCCCCCCCAAAAAAAACCCAGGTGATTCTCTTCAAAATCAACTTATAAAAAGCCAACAATAGCACAAGAAGTAAATAACTTTTAAAAGTTAAAGTCCAATAAAAAGGAAGAGAAATCAGCTTCACTCATTATCTTCAAATAATTAAATAGATTTGAACACCAGACCAGGTTGTTGGTGAATTAGAAAGACAATTATTCACACAAAATGTCCACCCTGTGCATATTTATCACGAAAAGTGTAAAACTGAAACAATATACTGAACGATTTCCCACAGTTCCAGATAAAGCTCTGTTAATAAATGTTGCCTTCAAAAGTGATACTACTAAATCAATTTTAAGAAATCCAGTTGTTCTGATTCTTGAGGAAGATCTTCTTTCCTACTGAACTCTGGAGTTGTCTTCCCTAGTAGGCATTTAATACGAGAAGAACAAACCACTCTAAAGGTCACACAGTTTAACCGGAGTTATCTTGGAATTATGTTTGAAAATACAAGTAGTGTGACTTGCAGTGTAAATTTATTGGCAATTCACTCAAGTCTGGGTAAAGAGGAAGTATAAATAATCACTAATTTTATTATTTCACCCCATCTCCCGCTACTTTATTACTAGTAGTCAATTCACTGTTACTACTTTCACTATCATCCTCATCTTTTTCGAATGGAACTGTGGTTCACTGGCTTACGTGCAGTGGAGTCATAAGTTCAAACCCTACTCCATCTGCTTCAGCCTAAGTAACCGGACAGTATCATAAGCCCTGATACCTTAAAGTGTTGTTTATATAGCCAGGTAGATAAAAACCTGTACTTTCAAGATGAGTTGCATTGTCTTTTTTCATACCTATGTAAAAAGCAGACAATTTACCATCACGCTTCACATCTAGATGCGACTCACATCTTACTGCACTCGTGATTTTTACTGCAATATCCTCATCACCTTACAAATGATTAAGAAACCTTTTTATGCATCTATATCCAAATTTTCCTTCCTTTTCTACTAGCAAGTTAAAGATGCAGTGTTATTACTGCGTTATTAATCTAGCTATTTGCAACAACTATATATACAATTGTAGAGTTTCTAAGAAATATTTTCTTTGATAGGATTTCATTCTTTCTTACTAGTAAATGTTTCTGAAATTATTATGAGTGTTATTTACGTGTTTTAAAACCGGAAAATTAACCTCGCCTGGCTAACTAGTTTACTAGTTACTAGCCGGTCCTAAGCCCGGGTAAAGAGGGAAGGTTGGGCATAGGGCTAGCAACCCTACCCCGTAAAACAAATCTAACCGCTAAAGAAACTTCAAAGCACAAACAAAATATAAAAAATGAAAATAAACTTATTCCCCGCTGGAATCGGAGAGGCGAAATGACGCCAGTTGGTGAAAGCCTTCGGGAAGCCAATTGGCCGATGTGTCTTCTCTCGATGAAAGCGAAAGTAAACGTGGGGACATGGAATGTCCGCACGATGTTTGAACCCAGTAAGGCAGCCCAGATTGCAAGGGAGATGAGAAGGTATAACATCGAAGTGCTTGGGATTTGCGAAAGCAGATGGAATGGGAGTGGACTCTCCAAACTGTCAACTGGAGAATCAATAATCTACTCCGGTCACCCAGACGACAACCACGAGCACACTGAGGGAGTGGCTATCATGATGTCCTCAAGAGCATCGAAGGCTCTCATGCAGTGGGAACCAATCTCCTCCAGGATCATGACAGCAAGATTCAACTCAAAAGGAAGAAAGGTCACAATCATACAATGTTATGCACCTACAAATAATGCAGAGCAAGAGAAAAAGGAGGATTTCTACAGACAACTTCAATCAACACTGGACAAGACGTCAGTTGGCGATATCAAAATTCTAATGGGCGACATGAATGCCAAACTGGGAAGGGACAACACGGGAAGAGAACTAACCATGGGTCGAGAGGCGCTAGGTGAAATGAATGAGAATGGAGAATTGTTTGCAGAATTCTGTGCATTCAACGATTTGGTGATTGGAGGCAGTGTGTTCAAGCACAAGGATATCCACAAAGCGACATGGATTTCACCAGATGGACACACTAAAAATCAAATCGACTTTATCTCAATCTCAAGAAAATGGAGACGCAGTCTACTTAACACAAGGTCAAGAAGAGGAGCAGATGTAGGTTCACACCACTCACTATCTAGTGCAAGGAACCTTCCAAATCAAGTTGAAAGCCTTCAAGGAAGCTGGTGATAGACCTCAACCCAAGTACAACACTCGGAAACTGAAGGATGAAACTACAAAGGAGATCTTCAAGGCAGCCATCAAGACAAAATGGGAGACATCGAGCAACATCCCTGAAGAAACCTGTGTGGAAGAACACTGGAAGTCTTTGAAAGCTATGTGGAAAGAAACCTGCACAACAGTATTAGGAAGGAAGAAGAAAGAAGACAAGGAATGGATCTCGACGGATACCTGGAAGCTGATAGAGGAGAGGAGGATGGTGAAGCAGAAGATAAACCAGTGCAAGGATGCTCAACGACAAGAGGAACTGAGCACAATGTATAAAACACTGGACAAAGAAGTGAAGAAGAGTGCACGCAAAGACAAAAGACACTTCTACGAAACACTGGCAAGTGAAGCAGAACAGGCTGCAGGTAAGAGAGACCTGACGACATTGTATCAAATAACCAGGTTGCTATCAGGGAAGAGACCAACACAGATGAAACCAATAAAAGATGAAGAAGGAAATTTAATTACAAAAGAAGAGAAACAGAGGAAACGATGGGCCGACCACTTCAAGAAGCTCTTGAATCGACCACCACCTGCACTTCGTCCAGAAATACCACCTGCAGCCGCTGAATTACAAGTGAACATTAATCCCCCAACGAAAATGGAAGTCCTGAACGCCATAAAGCTACTGAAATGTGGGAAAGCAGCAGGACCAGATGGAATACCGCCAGAAGCACTGAGAACAGATGCAGAGACAACAGCGGACATGCTCACACCACTATTGCAGAAGGTGTGGAAGGAAGAGAAGGTACCTGACGATTGGAAGAAGGGTTACCTTGTCAAACTGCCGAAGAAGGGAGACCTCAGTGCTTGCAAGAACTGGCGCGGAATCACTCTCCTGTCCACCCCAAGTAAAATATTAAGCCGCATCATCCTGGAGAGGCTTAAAGACGCACTGGATTCAAAACTGCGACCGGAACAGGCAGGCTTCAGGAAGTACAAATCATGTGCAGACCAAATTGCAACGCTTCGTATCATCATAGAACAGAGCATAGAATGGCAATCAGCTCTCTACCTCAACTTCATCGACTTTGAGAAGGCCTTTGACAGCGTCGACCGAGAAGTAATTTGGAAACTGCTTCAATACTACGGAGTACCGCAAACCTTTATCCGCCTCATTCAACAACTATATGAAGATGCCACATGCCAAGTAATTCACAATGGGAAGCTCAGTGATGCCTTTGAAGTGAAGACAGGAGTGAAACAAGGTTGCCTACTATCCCCCATGATATTCCTTATTGTGGTGGACTGGATCATGCAGCAAACAGTAGGCAGCGAGAAGAGGGGGATACACTGGACGACGGAAAAGAACCTAGAAGACTTGGATTTCGCCGATGACTTATGCCTAATGTCACACAAACTTGAAGATCTGCAGGCAAAAACTAACAAGTTGATAGAAGAGGCAGCTAAGACGGGACTTCAGGTGAATATAGAGAAGACAGAAGTGATGAAGATACCGCACCACCACCATCAACAACAACAACAAACTCCAATCACCGTCAACGGGAGAAACTTGAAGGAAGTAACCTCCTTCACTTATCTAGGAAGCACTGTTTCAACTACAGGCGGGACGGACGAGGACGTCAAAGTCAGAATCGGAAAAGCAAGACAGGCGTTCATTAGCCTGAAACCAGTGTGGAGATCTTCTGCACTCAGCATGCGGAACAAGATACGGATTTTCAACACCAACGTCAAGTCAGTGCTCTTGTATGGCTCAGAGACTTGGCGCGTCACGAAAGGCATTTCCAATAAACTACAGACATTCATCAACAACTGCTTACGCTCGCTGCTGAAGATCAGATGGCCAGAAAAAATAAGCAACAAGGAACTCTGGGAACGAACCAACCAAGAACCTATCACGCAACAAATATGCAGGAAGAAGTGGAGATGGATTGGCCATGCACTGAGAAGGCCGACTGAGGACATCACGCGTCAGGCCCTCGAGTGGAATCCCCATGGGAAGCGACGAGTTGGACGTCCGAGGGTGACATGGAGGAGGTCGTGCGAGCAGGAAATGAGAGCTTCTGGGCTGTCGTGGGACCAGGTTCAAAGGATCTCAGAGAACAGAGGTCACTGGAGGCGTGCTACTGAAGCCCTATGTTCCACTAGGAACCCAAGGGACTAATAATAATAATAATAATAATAATAATAATAATAATAATAATAAACCGGAAAATTAATTTAAATTATCCAATCAATCAGGTACAAAATGTAGAATAAACAATATTCTCAACTTTACAGTAACAAAATACATATTCCGCAATTTATACTTTATTGATAGCCACTGCACAACTTAAACCAGCTAACTCCATCAGTTGATCAACAGAGAAAGCATATTCATTGAATAATTCATTGTCTACTTGTTGAGCTTCGGTTTGACTATATCAAAAATCCAGAAAAGATAAATAAAGTTTAAAAAATGGTAAAACAGTGAACTGTGTACAATAATTTGAACAACTGGCTAGAAGATGAAGTTACAAAACCGTTATTTTTCAAAATAAATAGCTTTTTGAATTAACTTTGATGGATCTATATTTGAACATTTGAGATTTAAGCGTATGAGATTCTGTATATCAAATATATAACCATTTGTGGGAGTCAACTCAGTGATATCTACATTCTACAGTGCTATGTTAAATTTCATCTGACGAGAATGATAATTCCAGCCTATTGAACTTTTTCGATTTTACGTCTACGCTTTTAATGATAAAGAATGAAGTGGTGGAATATGTCGACCAATTCACTCACTTGCGGAACTGCATCAGTTCAAACGGCCTGGTTGTTGACAAAATCTCAGATCACATACAGAAAACCCGTTAAGCATTTTCCAAACTACCTCATCTGTGGCACTAACTACAGAGATATCTGACTACCTATCAAAGAATGAGTATACTGAGCTGCAGTTCATTCTTTCCTCTTATATATTTGTGAGACATGCCCGTTGAAAGTAGAAGACACAAAGCAGTTACAGGGTTCCGATCACACGTGTCTTCGTAGTATTGGTCGCGTTTGATGGAATCAGCATGTGAGTAGTGTTGAGGTCAGGCGAAGGGTACTAAGTAAGACAGGCAATTCAGTCGATTGATGAGGTTGTGAACCATATTCGACTGGCATGTACTGCGCGTGTCCATCCACTGCCTATTTCGACGTGCCATGTTCTTAGGGGAAGTTGGATTCGGTTTAAAGAGGGTTGAGGGTGGTCAAACGAAGACGTGGTACCAGTCAGTGAAGTCGCTGGCTCTCAGTTTGAGTGGTGTAAGGAGATGTAGACTGCCTGTTTGGTGTCTCTGAGTTGAAAGGAATCTGTGGTTGAGGACTACTCTTGGTGATATGGATGATAATCGGTCACAGTGTACCACTGTGAAGTGTGACAACTTAAGGTTCTACGTTGATTCTGTCTATCGGACGGCTGCACTTTGCAGTAAGTCCTGTTTAAGCGGCAGAAATGTAATTGCGACGGCATCAATAACAATCAAAATTGATACGACTTGGGTAAGATAAATTATTGGACGTGATTTAATCTAACTGGAAAGCCTTTGTTAAACTGTCTTCAGTCGTACTCTGCGTTTGCATATAAAGAGGTAAACTATAAAGTATCATTTGTACTGAGTTCAAATATCAGGAGAGAAAAAAGCTATGTACCATTAGTGTGATATTCTTAACAAGTGTTTCATTAATATAGCAGTAGGGAAACGTCATAATCATTACCTGTCCTAAGAATGAATATCATCGAAACCTAAAGCTCGATATGCATCAGAATTTATATTGGGCAATGATTGAATGCGAAATGAATATCTGGGTAGGGCCAGGATTCGAACCTGCTGCAGCATGCGTGGAACTACAGGTGCATCATTATACGAGGTTCCAGTCAATTTAATAACTAGTAAGATCGGCAAATATTCTGAATAAAAATTTAGCTTGAAAATGGTACACCTCTTTTACAGTAGGTGTTGATTAAGTCACTTGGCCTCCTGATTTAATATCTAGGATCAAGTATCAAACCACGGAGAGCACCAAATAAAGATAAGTTATAATTATCTGATGTTCTCTGAACTTTGACGTTTGTTCTCGGATGTTTTGTCACCAAATTAGGTGACTTCGTCAGCATTTACTTCTTACAGAAGTCCAAGAAAAAACCTCAAAGAACACTAAACGATTGTCATCCTCATCCTGAGCTACAAATATCCCCTCACACCTCAAAGACGAGTAAATGTTTATTTATTAACAGACAAACAAGTCAACATAAAAGAGCATCACTTCAATTTGCCACACTTTACACGAGAATAACAAAGAGGAACGAAATAGAAAAAAATATTAAGCCAAATGAAAATAGAAATCAAATGAGAGAAAACAAACAAACGGAAGTCAGTGTAGATGAATAATATTCGACAATGATGAAGAGTGAGCACATTTATATCACAGTGATCGATTTGGCACCATGTCACCGAGATCCTCAAACGATTTATTCTTGACATATTTAGAACCTTACTCCGACGATTAAAACCACACAGGACTCAGAACAATACCTGAACTTCATAGATTGGTGATGCATTTTGGTCCAATTACTGTCAACTTTCTTGTGATCTAATTTTGTTTCAGACAGCATAGTCTTACGAGGTAGACGGTGGTTGAATAAGCATTACGCATGTTCCATTTTAGTCTATTTATTAGAAATACTACACTATGTTTCTGATTGATGAACAATTTATGATTGAAGGAAGACATTAGGAAAGGAACAGAATAAGTCAAATTCAAACTGACTCTGGTAATAAAAAAAACAACTCAGAAATTGTTTTCTAGTCAGGTGTTGTGGTGGATTACGTTATTCGGGCAGAAAAACGAATGCGAAATAGCGGAAATTAAAGGTAATGAGAAGCAAACTGAAATTCAGGAGCTATCCCAATAAAGTTAAAAGTGTGGGTAAGAATGAATAAAAGGTACGAAATCTCTGCATTAAGTGGTCACCTTAATGCTGATGTGTGCTTGGTGGCTAGCAGCGGAATCCAGGACGTACATTTCATCCTACTGGATACTTGTCAGATGGATGTATCTTCTTTGCTTCAAACGCCAGAGCGTTATTCACTAGGCTACCAGAGCATAGGAGTCATCTCTTGTGCAACGGGTACCAGGTTTTGTTTTTGATACTTGTAATTTCCTGGTGCTATAATACAGGGAGTATAGTAGCCCATCTGCCAACAGAGGTCGAGTGATTCGAGCCTATATGGCAATGAGAAATTACAAGCATCAAAATCAGCAGCTGATACCAATTGCACAGTTGGTGGCTTCCATATTCCTGTGGTCTAGTGAATAGTGCTTTGGCGTCTTAAGAGATGGGTACTGGGTTCGAATAGCAACGGAAACAACATTACCCAGTGGGATGCAGGTACATCCAGCTGATGAGTGCCAAATAAGAAACACGTGTCCTGGATTCCACTGTTAATCACCAAGATGAATGCAGCTTCGTTTTTACTAGTTAAAATAATCATAAAGCACCACTTAATAGAACGCCAGAAAAATAGAGCATTACCTCAAGTGACTGATGGCCATACTGTGAAATAAAGATCGAGTCCGTATAGGAATGCGGTGATAATTCAGCAACAACGTAAATGGTCTAACCCCAGTCTAAAAATTGTTTACAACAGATGAATTGCAAAATTATTACATAAAACACTGAATAACACAGTTTAGTGATTTACAGAATAAAAGAGAATGTTAGTAAACATGTCATTATTATATTTTAGTTTGATATTTATAAGGATCTTGTTTACTACAAGTCCTAATAAGAAGATGTGACCTATGGGGTCAGCTGGTCGGAAGTGAAGCCGATACCAACTGAAGACCTTGGTGTGTAGTCGCGCTATATCGCGAATTAACAGAATTAGGAAATTGTGGACCAGTGAACTCTGATTCAGTGGCAGGATGAATAACGCGCTCGCCAAAATACCTAAAGATCTTCAGTTCGATCTCTAGCCTGGTCGTGGGTGCATACTGCTGAGGAATCCCATACTAGAAAAAAAACAGCTGTCTAATGATCCTAAGTCCTCAGTGATTCTCCAGTTGATGTCAGTTCGTGATGAGACAATAAACAGTCTTAAGATAATAGTTAGCGTAAATATTCAAGCTTTAGAGGACGGCAGTGAGTGAATACATGTGCACCACTATGACCGATTTCTAGCCAGATCATCATCAAGAGTCAGTCCTCGACTACTGGTTCTTATTATCTCATGGACCCCAGCGAGGTAGTCTACTCTCCCAACACTCCTCAGATCAAGTCAGCGACTTCATGGACTGGTGCTAGGTCTTCGTTTAGCCGCCCTGAACCCTCTTTCATCCTAATCCAACTTCCCTAAGAACATGACACGTCGAGGTAGGTGGTAGGTTGTCATGCGTAATGAGTATCCAGGCCATCTCTCACCTCTTGAAGTAAGGAGGCGAAGAATACGTATTTCTCATCTTATGTCATTGAATAGAATAAAATCTCCAGAGGCATATTTATAGTTAGGATAAGTGTGCCAGTTACTTTCGACAAAAAGATGTATTTAGTAAGAATTCTGAGTTAAACAAACATTTAAAATCAATAACGCTTGTAGGATATGAATCAAAACCTGACCTAGTAAAGGAACACTACTTTTTGAAATCATATAATAGCAAATCCTGCTAGGGGGAGGGAAAACTAACTGTAGCAATCACTAGGAACGAAAAAAAGAACATTCACTAACCTGCTAAAAAGAAAAATCTTTGAAAAGATTATGAAGAATTGGAAGGCTTTTTATAAGAATGACTAGAATTCCAGTACACATGTGACTGACTTGAAATGGATATCTTAAAAGTCATCTCTTTTAGTTGGATACTTTTGTTATTGACGTATTTTCGTTTTATTTGAGTACGTTAGGTAGACAATTAAGCTACTAATAAAACCCCTAGTGCAATTTCCCGTTTGTACGAAGTGCAACGCCATCATAAGTGCAGGTATACTGAAAGTATTTATTTCCAACGCATCTCAGAGGAAATGAGGTTTTCATAGACTAAAGATCCTTGTCAGTTTTCAGTCTCCTCGTCCCTAAACCATAAATTCTTATGGTTTCCTAAACGTTTCTACTTACTAATCTTTCGTTAGCAACCGAGGGGTGGGGAAAGATGAAGACATGAAAATACAGATACCAGGATACGCATCAGTTGATCTTATGATCCCTTTCATTTTTTGGAGATTATATTACTATTATTATGATTGCTATTATTATTAGAACACAAAAATGGTACAGCAGAAGTACCAAGAAATATGCCACACAAAGTAGTATAGTAACACTCAGAAGACATAGGCGATGGAAAGTGGATAAATAAAAAGAGAAAAACATAATAAGAATGGAAGGATTAAAAAGGTAGTCTGATAAGATTCATTCAAAACAAAACATTCATTACTTTTCAACAGCAGAAGATATGAGGAAGCTAAAGCATGACCGCCACTGGTTTCGATTCTGAGCTATACATGATAACGTGTCAAGCCACTGAGTTGTGTGACCTCTTGGACCTCACTTAGGGAGTCATGATGCACCAATAGATGCTAACCTGATACAACTATCCCTCATCCCACGGCACCACTTCATACATTGACCACCCCTCTGCTTCTTCCATCCAGTCTCAGGTCCAGGGCTAGCAAAAAATGAATTGTATGGAAGCCGTTGGGAAGACATGCATTACATATGTCCAAACCACGGAACCCAGTGTTTCAAGATGGCTTCACTTAGTGAATGACGATTTCTATCATGCCCAAACACACACTGTCGTGCCTCAGAATTACTTACATGGTGTTATCACTGAATACGAGCAATCCTAGGAAGAAAACGATGATCAAACACACGGAGTCGTCGCATATCCTCAGCTCAGAGGCCAGGTTTTACAAGTGTAGATCAGAACTGCTCGTACCGAAGCGTTATAAGCCTGACCTTTTACAGTCAGACTAGCGTCACGAGGGCATCGAAGGTGGCTCATATTGATTTATGTCACTCTGGCTTTCGATATACGGTTAGAAATTTCATCACTCACACCTCCACCAGCACTCACACAACTATCCAGATACATGAACATTCCGACTACTTCCAACAGCTCACCATCAAGGGTGAGGGCAGATACGGGGTCCTGTCAAACTTGCAAAAGAACTTTGTACTTCAATGGTGAAAAACACATAGCATACTCAAGGATACTGAGAGATCCATTCAGCCGAGTAGCGTAGACGGCTGTCTACTGGTATCCAGTTGACAAGCTCACTTTCTATTCTCTAACTCAACCCTATACCTACACAAGCGAGTTCATGGAACTAGTTATTGGGTCTCTGGATTCTCGTAAGATGAATCTTGAAGATTCATTAATGTGACCAGGTGAGGTGAATTCACTAAACACAATCAAATCCTGTATACGTGTCTTAGAAACATAGCTTATATCTATGGTTATAGATTCCGGAATTTTGGCGAGTGATGCTCCCTGCCCGATTTCGCGTGAAGTTTGGACATTGAAAGCTCCTACACGAAATCGATGGCAGGGTCTTAGGAGACCAGGAATGAGGTCTTGATGGTTTCAATCACTGGTAATGGTTGCAGAGTGAGACTCTGGGTGAAGTGTGAGAGGCCTTATATTAGTATTAGGAAGTGAAGGCGAAGGAGGTGACAGAGCTGAGACGAATAGGTTATGTTTGGTCGGGTCATGTGTAATACTGGGAGTGGGGCGGCTGACACCTCCCGGTTGTCCACACCGTGGAAGGTAGCTGGAAGAGGAAACGACTTGTGTGACCGCAGAGCTCATGAGACATCTGCTTGAGGCTTGTCACACACAGTCTTTTGAGGATTGTTGTTTTCAGATTTGGTTCTCATGCCGGACAGAAAGAACCCATACCTCCGGCACCGAAATACTATGGCGCAGGGAGGAGTGTTCTATTTTTGGGGCCGACCCCTTTTAAACCCCACCTCCCGATTCCTACAGGGACGGTAGCATCAGTGTGGCGCTACTGGTCAGCCAAGGGAAACACCTTAATGCTGCCAAACCCCACCCATTTAGCAGCAGTACGACTTTGTCACCTGACTCCCATCATAGTGTAGTAACTTACACTACAACGGTAACTGCTTTTCGTCTTACCACTATCCCACGAACCTTTCTGGCATGGTAGGACCTCTGGAAACAAGTGTTCCACCGGCATAGCTTGTCCAGTCATTGTGATATACAAGCCTGACCACCATGTCAAGGTAGCAGCTACTTCATTAACATGCTACTACCTAGGTTAGTCAAAACACAAGGACTCGAGAAGGATAGTTAACCATAACCTTAAAACACCAACCCATTGCAGAGCGGCAGTTGCCAAAAGTTTTCAAATATTGTGGTCTTCACAAATAGCCTTCCAGAGTTTCAATAAGAACATGTTACGGGTCTTATGCCCAATATATGTAGCACACCACTTGAAGTATGGGATTCAAGAAACGAGCCCACGTTTCAAACATGGAACTGACGTATTACAGCGGATTAAGAAGGTAGGAACCAACTTCTCATACGAAGAAAGAGTTGATCGATTAGGTCTTTTCCCATTGTCATACTGTAGGACGACGTGTGCCTCGCCTTAATGTATCAGTTTCAGTAATAAGGATAGTAGGCTGGTTGTTCTGTTAATCCTTGTAGTATATGTCTTTGGTCTCTCTATCTCTCTCTAGTTTCTCCTTGAATGCGTTGACCGAAGGGGCTGATATTACTTGTTGACATAATGAATTCCAGTCGCTGACCCCACGATGGGAGAAAAGCAGATTCACACTTAGTTGATTCAATCACAGCTTCTGGATTTTCTTGTAATGGCCTCGGAGATAATCAATTCCAGCACGAGAGAAAAGATAAGACATATCAGTACCAAATTAATTATTAAGAATACAGAATGCAAGTATGAGATTACCCCTTTTCCTACGGTAAGAGCGGAAGTAAGTTTAGTCAATCTAATAGTTGCTTATGGGGCAGACTCGAGAGGCCTACTACAGGCTTAGTATCTAACCTTCGAACACGCTCCAGTGCGTTAGCATTCTTTTTCTTAGCACGAATCGGTCGCCTGAATGTAGTATTCCAAGTCGGGTTTAACCTAAGTAGAGTAGAGTATGCTGAACATATCCCGACCAAGACTTCTGGAAGCAACGTGGATTGACCTTCGCTGCAGCTGCATTACTGTGTGCTAAAATCTTCAAATCATGACTTAATATGACACCTAAGTCTTTCAGTTTGAAGACTAGGAGTAGTGGTGCAACACCAACGGAATACCAGAAACAATAATTATGGCCAATGTGTATTATTGCACATTTACTAGAGTTAATTTTCGTGCACTAATATTTGAATCAGCTTACTAGTTTTTCCAAATCTGCTTTAAGAGTATACCTATCGGCATCACTATGTATGATTCTCTATACTTTTACATAATCGGTGAATAGCAGCACCGAAGAGTCGACCATTTGAGGTAATTCGTTGACATGTAACAAGAAAAGGAGGATTTAGGATTGTTCGCTGAGGAACTCCAATCATAACAGGTT